TTGTCAATCTTGCTTCTTTGGTGTATTATGGTTATGGTAGACCCAATGAATCCCATTGAAGAGCAGATGAATCTATAGAAATGAAAAATTACCAAGTTTTTCTTTTACATACTTTTTTTTCCTGCAGTTTTACTTAAATTCAGGTTGGTTTATGTTCTGCATTGGACCATAACTACATGTATAACCTATAGCCAATCTTACCTAATGTTTTTGAATGAAAAATAATTTTTGTTGGCCCATCAGCTTGTTTTGAAATGTCACATATTGAATGACAAATATGTTATTGTTTTCTCTGCAGACACACTGTGTTTAATTTATTAATCCACCTTATGAATAAAAAAGGCATATTATCAAAAAATGTGAATTGGTTGATTCACCTGCATTATGCCCTGTGAAAATCGGTATGCAGAACAGGTTATTTAAACTTTAGTGTCTGATGTTTCTTTCCAGCATGGAACAAGGCTTTTCAGAGTTCAAACAAAACATTTAGAAATAAGATAGTGATTAGCTGTTGCTGTAATCAGTGATTAGTACATATTCACAAAGAACAGCTTATCATTTAACAGCTCTTTTACATGAAGACTGTTCTTTCACAGGCAGATCACAAATGAGTTTGTGATCAATTATAATCAATTGTGATCAATTATAATCAATTCAAAAAATGAGTTTGTGATCTCTTTGTAAATAATTTGTTTTTATTTTTTTGGAACTTGAAATATTTGGAAACTATTTACATAAATGTTTCATTGCATACTCTGATCTGATAACATTCATTTACTATTCTAAATTCCATACTTATCTTGCATGATTGTCTTTTTCTTTCTTTTTTAATTTTTTAATATAAGAGAATCAAATTCAGTAAACGACTCTGAAGAGCTTATTAAGATATATCAGAAAAATTACCACAGTCCTCAAGATTGATTCTGTACAATGAAGATTTACGTCATTTATATATATGAAGTTCAAGGTCTTTTGCATCTATGAAATCTGTCCTTTTTTTACCTTACTTCCATGCTAACAAGGGTAATTTCTACTATCTATGTTTTAAGAAAACATGGATAAAGAAAATATCATTGGGGTTATGTCAGAAATTTTTGTTTCCTAACTTTTTTCTCTGACACATAGATTTGGGGTTTATTTGAACTCCAGAAATTTACATCACTTCAGCTACATAAATTAGCTTTCAAATGGAAACAAACATAATGTTAAGGTCCATTTAAGTCCAGAATAAGATGGAATATCCTCAGAATAAGTAATGATCATACCATTTACGGTTACATCAGTTCTGAAATTCCATCAATAACCTAGGTATAATCAATTCAAAACAATATTTCCCCTATTGATATTTGAACATAAAATCACATTCCTGTAGCTGAGAATACAGTAAAGTAGGTTTCAGTTTTACAATTTTTTGATTTCTTTCCATGATTACATAATGCCATTTTTAAACTTTCACTCTTTATTTGGGCCAGACTGTTCTTGTCTTATTTTTAACTTTTCAATTCCCTTTGTTCTTCTGTCTTTTGTGATATTTTTAAGGAACCTTCCTCTTCAAATAGAGCATGTAACACACTTATTGTGTGTTTAAAAAAAAAAAAAAGATGTGAAGACCTTTGCCTAGGTCTCTTTCTTTTCTCACTGCATGCACTATTATATAACTTCACAAACTAGGGTATTGTGAAGTTTATTTGCCTGTATTATCTAGGGGGATAAGTGTATTTAGAGGTAAGTGACAAAGCTAAGATACTCATCCCTCACTTGCACCAGTGACCTTATCCTGGTTTTCTGAAACATTCACTTGCTGACCTCACCCTTGCTGGCTGAACATCATTCTCCAGCAGCTTTTTACTTTAGTTATCTAGAGATCTGCTTCTCCATTGATGTGAAAACCCTTCCCATCTGTACATTCCACTTCCTCAAATCTGTTGGTAACGGCTCTTTCCCAATCAACTATTGATGACAGCGTTTCATCGTTGTTTTCCATCATTAGTCAGATGGTATGAGCTCTACCCATGACCCTTTTTTAAATCAATTTTGTCTTACTTGGGCTCCTCTGACTCCATCTTCTGAAGAATCTCCCCTTATCTCTGCAATATTTACTTTAGCGTATCACATGGAGATTCTTCTGTTTTGTCCAGGGATCTGCTAGACTCTCATTTGATTTCTTTCTTGTTCAATTCACACTTTCTTTCTGATGTATGCCATCTGTGTATGGACCTCCTTATAGCTGTCTTCTCTTCATTATCAGAACTCAAACAGATATGTGATAATGAAGAGAATCAGATCTGGTGGTTCCACTAATGTTTGTCATCACTGCAGAATAAACAACTAAATCAGAGCTCTTCATCATCTCTTTCAAACCTTCTCTCTCCTTACTTTCTGATTTTGTGATTCTGTCCTTAAATCTGTGTCCTAACAAAACCCTCTAATACGTCTCTTTTGCATGTTTGGTCCTGGCCTGATTCAGAGCCCTCACTCCGCTATGTTTTTGGACACACTTTGTGTCAAAAATAGTTCACATTCTGCATGTATTTCATCTGAGAGGCAAGATTTTCAAGTCCAGTTGAGGAAATGGCTAAAGGATTGTGTGCCCAGTACCCCAGCTACATATTGTCCTCTTTGTATTTGATTTGACAGAAAGGGCTGAACAGAAGGGAAAATGCATTGCATATGTTACATATGATAATGAGTTTATACTGTTTGGTCCTTCCCCCATAGGTGCCCCAAAGATCTTTTTCAGAGGTGTGAATTTTGCCTCAATATCACACCACATTTTAAATTAGACTTCAAGTAAGCGTTCTTCTTCCATTGGAATCACCTTAATTAAACTAATATTACATAGCTTTTAGTAACTAGACCCAAGAAAAACAGTGACAGTTTGAAAAGGATGGCCACTAAGAGTTACTTACTGGATAAAAATATACCTCACAACTTATCCTCAAGTCAGGAACTTCAGGTCCATTCATTTTGAAAGTCTAACTCTGAATTTTTGGTGACCATTATGTTGTTTAGAGAAGATAGCTATTGTGATTTTTCTCATCCTCTCCAGAGGCATAGCTGTATGTTTTGTTTTCTCCCTTTTATCATAGTATTCTCTGTTGGAAATTTTCCTATTGCTCTACTTCAGAGGAGTTCTGACTTCTAAATTCATACAGCTGTAATGGCTCTATCTATCACTCAGCACAGCAGAGCTCGGTGCTTAATAGGAAGAACTGTTTTAGAAAGAATGTTCTAATAAATCTGTCACAGAGCAAATAAATAAATACAATACACACACTTGTGGTTTCCAGTTTGTCTTTTTGAAGTGGGAAACCTGGCCTTCATATAAATTTGAAAATTATTTAAATATTGTAAAAATCAGACAAAACCACAGACATCTATGAAAACATTTCTTCCTGCACATGTTGTAGCATTTTCTTGAATGAACAAGAACATATTTTATTTACTGTAAGTTGTTCTTCACTGTCAATGCACCTCATGCAGATTATTTTGTCAACACTTCAATGGTAGAGGTATGAACTAAAACGCCTCTTTATGTGGATAAGTTGACTGTTGTTACACATTCACTAGCTGTATGGTTAGAAATTTAAAGACTGCTTTTGCTTGGTTGCCATCTGCAGCAGATGTTTTCAGGAAACTCTATTTTTTTTCAGTTGAAATATGCAGTGTTAGTATCAAAGATTTTACTATTTTGTTCTGTTTTAATGTTGTATTTTCAAGGGTCTAACTCCACAATTGTGCTGAAGCATGATTGCTTCAAGCAGATCCTGTGTAGGTGTAGGAGTCAAGAATGATGGAAACTTTTGGTGACCTGGGATCAATAGCTGCAAGCTGATGGAAAGTGAAGAATGTCAAAGTGGAATATGTGTATTTTGAGGTCTTCCTGCCTTAATAATGCCCTGATGCCTTGTTAATTCACTCATAATTTTGGCAAATTTAAATGGGTCCGGTAAAAAACAAATCCATCAAAAGTTAAAACGGAATAATTCTTTCTTTAAATGGTACTTGTTTTAAAAACAGGATAAATCTGTGCAGGAATTGTTTATAGCCATTGTGATCCCAACCCACATGGACTGGAAGCCTGGAACTTTTCTTAGTTTTGTAGATATTAGGGAAAAAATAAGTCAGCACCATTTATTTAAGAAATGAGATCAGCTTTTAATTAATCAGAGTTTTAATGGGACTGAAAATTTGAGATCTAGTCTTTGTTCTTCTTTAATGCATTTTTGGTTCCATATGAAGATATTGAGCAGGAGAGAGAAATTAACATTGTCAAGATAAAAACCTCTATTCTTTTCAGCAAAACTCGTGGATTTTTTTTGAAAACCAAGAGAATTAAAAAGTCATATACAGACAAATAATTATTTCCATGAAAATGTTTTTGTACTCTAAAATTAAAATGTTTTTAGCGATTAAGTAAAAGAAATCAAATTTTACCATATCTAAACTGCAATTGAGTCTATTTTCTTCTGCATGCTATTATAGCTATATATATTATGTAGTTATAAACATATATATTATAATTATAACTGATTTTATTACACATTCAAGCTTGTTATATTCAACATGTTTTAATCTTAAAATGGATGTAATTTCTCTCCTGGTGAATGACTCCAGTAATTGCAAAACCAGCTAATTGGTCTTTTATGTTGTTTACTGGGTTCTTTATTGAAACAGAAAAGCACTTATTATGACTACTAAATTAATTTATTATTTTTGGCTTATATAAGAAAAAAAATCTTGTTGTTTTTTCTTTACTTCAAAGAGATCAAATTTAAGCCAATGCCTCAAACTTCTCCCCAGATGAATTCTTGTCTATAGACTTTTCAAATGCGTTATGGTTGCATATATGTACTTTGAGTTTTGGTTTTATTTAAATCTATCATTTGAGTTTATAATTTATATTTTCAGCATTGAATGATCTGCAGAAGATCAGGAAGTCTTTGTTTCTGGATATATTACATTTCTCTCTCCCCCGTTTTTATTCTTTATTGCTCCAGTTAGTGCACTGAAGCATGACAAGAGCTCAAACTCAGCAAACTTCCAAGATGTGGAGGATGTGCCTGACAGATGTGTCTTGGAAGAGTCTGAGAGTCCAGGTGAGAACTATTTAAAGACAGTCACCAAGTATCAAGTGATAAATCTGATGCAGCTTTTAGGTCTGTGAAAAAGGCACATTGTAATGCTGTTTCCTTTTTAGCAGCTGCAATGTCAAATTAATGGTCACCTCCAGGGGTCACAGTATGGAGCTGTTATCCTTTCCTCTTTCATCAACAATTCAGGTCTTAGAAAGGATAAAGGCTTTATGACCAAAAAGAAAGCTGACACTACCAGTTCATTATAATTAGTTTTGGACTATACTGCTTAGTTAATATATGTATGATGTCTGACCCTTTGAAGGTAGCATGAGATTATGAAAACTTAGAAGCACTGTATATACTGCAGTTGAATGTAGCAGTGGACATTCAAACATTGTATCTCTGGAGGAAAGCAAATTGGTAGTGTTGAGTAGCTTGATTCTTTTCTCTAAATCAGTTCACAATCATGATTTCATTTTAATGACTCTTAACATTGATTCAGCTAAATAGAGGAACATCCATAAAGTGCATTATTTTTGGTGACTAAAAGATTTATCTTCATGTAGTTTCATTATCTTTCTAGTTATGGGATATCTAAGAAATTTATTAAATGATTCCCAAAGGGAAACAATTAAATATCAAATGTATCCAGTCACAGATGATTAAAAACGTTCTGTGTGACTGAATATTAAGATCTTTCAAACAAGCTGTGAGTTTGACCCACATACAACATATATGTAACCTGGATGTAGCACTCATTAGTGAAAGAGTTAAACATCTTTCTTCACGTGGTATTTTCCTTTCCTGCTTTATCTGGTGTCTGTGTACCCTCTTGCATCTTTGTGTGCTGATCCGTGTATCATATTTTTGATTCATCGTCTCTGCGGCCTGTCAGCTTAGTTAAGAGATTTCCAAATCTTGCAGCCTGTGCTGACAGGGGGCAGCTGCCAACAGTCCCCTGATCCTTCCCCAAGGAACACTGCTGAGATTTAATTTTCAGTCAAAGGGTGCAGTCTGAAATCCATGTCAGGTCCCCTAAGTCATCTCAGAACCCAGAAAGGACCCCTGTCTGGGGGATTATATTTCAGTGCACTCCACTCCTCCAAGATTCCTTGGGAGTTCAACTGCTGTCATATACCTGATTTGAACTACATTCCCTTTTCATCTTTTCCACAGAAGTGAACACCAGTATACGTTAGAATAATTGAAACCAATGAATTGTAAATCCATATTCACTTTAAAGCCACATTGTCTTGGACTCACTGCTGTACAGCAGAAGGCAGCATGAGATTTAGAAAGAAATAGGTAAGCTACTTGAAAAGGAGACCAGTTTAATTTCTTATCACGGCTACATCAAACTATCTGTGGCACATGGCACCTCCTTCAGAAAATATCTGTAGTCTCTTCTACAATGAGTATGCACAAAAATTGGCCATCCAAGTTCTGATCTGTTTGGAAGTGAGAAAGAATTTAAACAAAGTGGTACTAAAGCACTGAGGTGAGAATTAATGTGCCCTTAAGATAGCTTTAATTTTAATCTTGATTTAAATTATTCTGTGGGGCAAAATGCACGCGTTTGGATGGAAACTTGAATATCCAATTCTGCCTTCTGCATGTCTATATGGAAAGAATAAAAAACTGTCAGGAGGTGAATATTGACTAGCAAAAATACATGTTGATAAAGCATATAAACTTAAAAACTGAGTTCCATTCAGTCCATCTGACATCATTAAACTGGTAATAAACAATGAATTACTCTAGCTTTTGTTTCTGTCCATTCCTGCATTTTAAGACATCTTGTCTTCTAGGTCTGAAAACCTCAGGAGATTTCACTACTGGTCTCACTGCTTTCCACTGAGAATTTGTGGCTTGGTTGTCATGGAGACATCGTATTTCTCCAAGAATTGCTCATATTGATCCGTGGACAGGCGTAAATGGCCAGGCGAATGTGAGGAGTAAAGGGGGTTGGGCAGTACTATAAAATGACCAGAGGTTATGGGTCAGAAATAAGCTCATAGCAAACACTTAGGTAAAGAGAAAGAAACAGTTTCATTTTGTTTCAGGATTTCGTTTTTGCACTATATGCCATTGTCTTCTTTCACTATAGACTGAAAGAAACTTGTTAGTCACTTGTCATGTCAGATCTTTGGTGCTTGTCCTGACACAGCTGTCAGCCTTCCAGCTCTGTGCAGTTCAGGGACACACAACAAAGAGCTAGGAACATGAATTATTTATTGCTCCTTGTGCGGATGAAATTCTGTGATAAGAAATTAAGACACTTCTGACAGAAGTGCTTGTTTGAAAGGAAAGATTTGGTAACAGAATACATTTTCTTAAAACTTACTACTTACTTTAAGAAGCAAACATTGAAACAATAATACGACATTCACTTGGGTATGATTATCTGTAGTGTTTCTCAGATCCTTTAACTTCAGAATGGATCTTGGAATTTGAGAGTGCCTGGGAGGTCAGAATTTGATTTGATGAATCCTGGGACTTTAGAAGCACTCTCTCACATATTCAAAGTCTCAGCAAACTTACAAATTTGTTTTTATATAAGAGTTGTAGGTATGTGTTTTTTGCAGAATCTGTTGCAGTTTGCTTACCATATGTTGATATATGCACAAAAGTGACATTAAGAAATATGTTGACTTTATTTATCTCTTCTGATGGGGAAAAGGTGAAAGTATGACAATATACCTGTAAGAAATTCCAACTATTTCAAGAAAGGATTGTTTATGACAACTTCTACCAGAATCAGTAAGGGTTTAGATGCATAGAGCAGCCATTAACAGACACATCTGTGTACTGTGTTTTCTGATGCTGAAAGGTACAGTATCTAACCTTGACATTAGACTGAGAATTATTTTCAAAGTGATCTTAGTTTTCTAAAATCACATAAAGCATACTTGGCTAATTTTGCTTTCACACTTTCTACATGTCTGCACGTTATCTCACTGCTCCAGATGTAGGCTTCCAGCAGTCATGGAAAAACATATATACTCTGATGGCAGGAATCTATCTGACTACCCAAGACCCCAGTCTGAGATTTACCTGTGATTTCTTATATTCAATGTGTGATCCGAACTACTCTTAGATGGGAAATGAAACCCTTCAACCTGCACTTTTCTCTTGGATAATTCACAGCAAACACTTTTCACTTGTGATAGACACAGGTAAATATCAGACTGCAGTTTCTTGTCTAAGCGAAATAGATTTTAGTTTCTCCCTTCATGTGCCTACAAGCTGCCATTATCCGTGATAGTGGTTCATGTCTATTTTAGCCCACACACAGCGGAGATACAGGGTTTCTCTCCCAGATGCCTAATAGTAGGTTTATCACTGCCATTTTCCCCACATGCTGAGGACTACTTCTGTTTGATATGCAAAGCCTTGGCTTTTCAAACTTGCCTCTGCTCTTGCCTTGAACATAATAATCAGATAAGAATTGCAACAGCCTTTTGTAGAACTTAACTTTTAATCATACCAACCCCCCATAAAGAGTTCGGTATCAATTAGAATGCTTCTTCAGTATAAATATTCTCAGCACAGTTTTCCATTTTATCAGTCAAATTTTCCACATTTAGAGAAATTGAGAAACTGGCCAAACTTAGGTGTCCAAGTTAGAGTTCTAGGTCTGAGCTACTCACCCAAGTTTTCCTGCATAAACAATGGTGGAAAATTCACACTCCTAAAGGCAGATCATCCTATTCAAAGGGAGTTGCTTAAGATAAATTTTAAGGGAATTGAAAATGCTCAGAATTTTGTCGGTTAAAATTTGAGAGGAATGCAGCATGGCTTGACACAGCTGGAGATGTCTTAGCTTCCATATGGGCTGCAGTCCCACTAAGGAGGCTTCTGCAAGCATAGCTCTTATGAGAAAAATGAATAGATTGGAGCTGGAGATAGGAGCAACAATGTAGGCACAGATATCCCTTGCTTCTTATTTCCTCCAATGCAGATTTTGCACCAGACTAGGCAGTAGTTTATTATTTTGCTAGGTAATACAGGGAAATTGACCCTGAACAGCTCAAAATCAAGCAAAGAAACAAAAAACAACCGAAAGCTGTAGATTGAAATTATAAATGGGTTTTCCATCTCTTACATGAAAACCATGTAAATAGTGAGAAATCTATATATTTATGGCCTTCGGTAGCCAGGAAGTCTGGCTGAGTCAACTGGCCCCTTCTGCAGCTCATGATCCTCCCATGCCTTCATTGCAAAAACATTGTACATACTATATTTTTCCTTCTTCATTCAGGACATAATGGAATTCTGGTTGTATAACACTTAATAGTGAAAATACAAGCAGTTTTCACAGGCTAACACAGTGGCATGTCCTAGGTAGATCTTGTCACAGAGATGAGAAAGGTCTCTGACTGCTCCTAAAGTACCATCTGTTAGAAAAGGAATTGCAGCAAATAGAAATGAGAATATGGAGATGTATCAAGAAGAATAGATTCCTATTAGCCACAGTGTGCTTAAATATTCATCGCTACAATTGTGATTATCTTGTTATCAACCAAGTTATAATTACTTTCTTGAATATTGTTACTAGCTCCAAGTTCCTTCCATCAACTGAAGACTACGTTCTTTACATCAGCACTATGTCATCTTTATCTATATTGTTCAGTACGCTGGCAGGAGGTATTCAGTAGATTGACAAGTGTGTGCAGCACCCTAGAAAAGCATGATTTTATTTTTTTGTATTTGCATCATCATCAATAGTAGTTAGCAGTAGATGTGAACTGGAGTGCTGGAGGCTGTTCACAGGCACTGATAGCCCATAGTACTCATCAACTGTGTATAAAATATTAGTGGCTAGGTCTAAGTCCAGAAATTAAAGTCCATAAGAATTTCACTGCAGTAGATGCAATGTCACATCCTGTCAGCATTCAGGGTTGCAAGTATTATGATTCATTTTTTGTTTGATTGGTTGATTTTGTTTGGTTATACATGGTAAATCAAAGTGTAAAAACAGAAGACTACCTCAGGGGACATCTATGACATATGCAGAGAGATGATAATATCATAAACTGAGAAGATAGTTATTATATTGGGAAAAAATAGTGTGTGCTTCTTTCTCTGTGCTCATGTATTCATAAAGTGTGCCATGTCTATTTAAACAGTGTTTCTAATAGAAGCATTATTTTAAATTCAGGTGGTAAATGTTGTCATATATTAAATGGGAAAAAATCATGAAACTAAAAATTGATGATTGAGATTGCTTTTCTGTAGAATTCCAATTAACTGTGACAGAGTTAAACTATAATGACTTGTTAATATAGCTTCCTATCAGTTCTGTGATATATAATATATATATAGCTGTTATATATACATATAGCTGATATAATAGCTGTTTACGGCTATTATAGAATATTTTCTTTGGAAAGAATATATATAAAACTTGAAAATAGTATTGTCAGAGGAAACATAAATAATTTACTAACTTTATCAGAAATTATCTTCCAGCTGATCCACTAAAAAGTGTTCCGTTAAAAGATGTTAAAAAAAAAAAAAAAAAAAAAAAGAGAGAGAGAGAGAGAAAACAGTAAGAAGAAAAGAAGAAAAAGAAGAAAAAAAAAAAGGAGAGTAGGACTGTTCAGCAAAAATTCTGGGGAAGGCTATAAATTTTCTTAAGCTATTTTGGTTCCACATTGCCTCTTGTAATATAGCAATTGTGATGCAAACAGAACAGAACAGTTTTCTAGAGGTATATTTGTGCTCTTTTTTTAACCCTAGTGTGTTGATGCTGAAAGTTTTATTTCCATTACAAAAGTTATAAATTATTACTCTAACAAAAGATTGTCAAATAACTTAATTTAAAAAAATTTTGCTTACTACTTCAAACTGTACAGTCATTAAACCAAATTAATACATTTCTTTCTTTTCCAGATGATATGAAGGCACATCCATGGATATCTAAGGTGTGCTCCTGTAAGGTGTGTTAGAAAAACCCTACTTAGCTGAAAGAATGAGAAGATCCCAAAGAGCAGCCAATAAATAGGACATACGTGGCGTGGACATGGAACAGCTTGCTGTAGCTATTATCTTATACCTTTAATAATTAATTTTCAGAAGAAATATCTTTCATAAGATCTGCCACTTTTTGCTAATTTATTGACTTCAATTCACACTTTCATTGTTTATAGATTTATGTTTATTCAATTTAATTTCAATAGTTCTAACAGAAAATATCAAGTCCTTATTATAAGATATTTTTCAGTAGTTTAAGTAGTGACTCTGTATCTTACAACATTGATTGACCATAAAACTCTTGCCTTTTAATATTCTTTTGCATACAACTAATTTAAACAAGCTAATTCATTTTTTTCTCTCTCCTTGGCTCTGACTGTTATTACCATTAACATTTTAACACTGAACAAAAAACAAACAGATTTGAAAAAAAATCAAGAATTTTCTATGATTTAAAGGAAAAATATACAGTTTGAATTAATTGTGGAATATCTAGAAACAATAAAGTAAAATTTTTGCGTGCACAGGACAGCATGGGTAATTGATTTTAAATCTGGTCTTTTCTAGCATGTCAATTTTCCTTTTATAAATACTGCCAGCAGTGTCATCTGAAGAAATGTAGTGCCAGTATGAATATGGAGAAGCCCATCTGTGTCCTATTCTCAAATGATGCACTTTGTTGAATTGTATTTGTGCTCTTGGGGAAAAACATTCAAACATTTTTGTCCTTATTAAAAAAAAAAAAAATAGGTTTGGAAAATACGTGCAGTTGATTAGACTCAGTATTAGTCTATCTCCTAAAGTTCTGAGAAATTTATGCTGGCTTGACAAAGAACAGCCACACAGAGTGGTAAACTTTCTGTATTACCAATTGTAGGAGCGCTAATGAAGTCAAAGGGACTTTGTGGATGTGTTCTGGATCTGTATCTTATGGTGGAAGCCATCACCTGATACTATCCTTCCTAACTGCAATGTTAGCCAAAATCTGCCTTAACGAGGAAAATGAAGATTTCTTTGGTGTGAAAAGATTCTCTGGCAATGAATCTCTCCTACCTGTGGGGAAATGTGGCTGCAGGAGTGACAAAACCAGGTTCTTGTTGCCATACTATGACATGAATTTGGTTAAATGTGAAACAGACAAGAATTCTTTTGTTGTTTGTTTTCTTTTTTATATCCCATGACTCTGTATCTCTAAGCTATAGTGTATGAGGTCTTCAGAAATGTTGAGTTGAAGGGCATTATGGGAGTAGTCTTTCAGCTAAAGCAAGCATTCAGCTTTAGTATATTCAGCATTTAGCATTCAGCTAAAGTATATGTCATTGACATGGGCTGCAGCCCAGGAAAAAATAAAGTTATTTAATGTTCTTTTTACATGCCTTGCAGAAAATTACATCTTTCACAGATTAGTCAATGTGTTTTCCACATTTGGTATTTTTCAGGAATAGCTTTCTTTATTCTTAGAAGTCATTTTCCCATGTAAACCGTATCTTTTGTTTATACAGTCTTGTGTATGAATTACCATGACTAAACAATCTAGATGTTGAGTGGAATGGCTTCATTCTTTCACTTAGCATGCTGGATATCTGGAGTAATTTCACAGACTTATTTATACTTGCATAACACAAGTTCTGCACAGCTGAAAGCAGAACGTGCCTTCAGCTGACATGTATCCTCTTCTTAAATTTATGATTAAATTAGAGATTAAAACATCAAGAAGGTAAAAATAAAATTAAAACTACAACTACAGGAACTTAGTAACAATACATGTACCTTGCAGACAGTAAACCAAATGGACTATAAGGCATGGATTTGCTATCTGTTTTGCCACACATCCTTGTCAACACTCACCTCTATTTTGCTGCAGTACTCTTCCATTGGCATTGAAACGTCCATTTTCCTTCACTACAAACATTACTACTTTGTATCAGTTCACTTGGGCCAACTCTGTTCTTAGTGCAAGAGTAGGAAATCTTAAAACAATTTCTGCTAGATATTTTAAAAACTGAGTGTTCAATGTGGTTTCATAGCTCAAGGAATTGGCATTGTCCATAACACCCAGTATCGCTGTGGTAGCAATTACATTTGTGCAACACAATATTTGATTGCTTGTCTTTAATTCCACAAAGCAGTGCACGTCAGCAGACTGCCAATACAGACAGCCCTTTGGAATGATTTGTGCAGTGATGATTGGTGTTTGGCACATGCTTATGTGTGCTTTCTGCTAATTATAATTACAGTATCAGTAAGGTATGTGTTCTAGGTCTGGCTGGGATGGATTTAACTTTCCCCACAGCAGCCTATATAGTGCTCTGCTCTGCACTCCTAGCTAGAACAACATTGATATTGCTGCCTATTTCTGAGCAGTGCTGGCACAGCATCGAAGCTGTGACTCCAACTCCCCGCCCCAAAAGGCCAGTAGGTTGGGGTGGGCAAGAGGTGTGGAGGAGCACAGCCAGGACAGCTGACCTAAAGGGGTATTCCATGCCATATAATGTAATATTTAGCAATAAAATCCGGGGTGGAAGAAAGAGAAAGGTGGAATTCTCATTATGAAAGTGTTCCCAAGCCCTGAGTTTCTGAGTGTACAGGGGACCTGCTTTCCAAGAACCAGCTGAACATTGCTTACTGATGGGAAGTATAGAATAAATTTTCTCCTTTTGCTTCCATGTGGCCTTTGCATTTTTTTCCTTTCATTAAACTGCTCCTTATCTCAACCCACAAACTTGTCTCTACTTTCATCATATTTTCTCCCACTTTCCTTCTGAGAAGGGGGAGTGAGAGAGTGGTGTGGTGGTGCTTAGCTGCCTATCAGTTGGTAAGTCATCACAGTAAGGCAGGAACTTTTTTAATTATGTAGAATGAATATTTTTCCAGTGTGGTCTGGAGGTCTTTCAAATAACCAAAAATATACTATATGCTCAAGATGAACTTGCTTAGAACAATGTTTTTGTATCAAAATGATGATTGAAAAGATGAAAAGGTTCTGTACTAATGCACTATGATGTACCATTCTGTTCATGTTTATGGAGATTGATGTTACAATGAAGTTGCAATGTAATTATGAATATATTTTTCTATTGTGTTAAACTGAAGGAATCCTGACAAAAGGAGTCATAGACTAATGTTTTAGAGTACTTGTCTAAGTTTTAGATATGGAATTAAAAAGTCTTAAATGGCTGTATTTCTTAGGGAGAAAGGTCCTTTTTTTTCTTCTTCCTCCAGAAATCATGGGGTCTCTTAAACCTTATAACTCAAGTTGTCATTTCATATTGTAAGCAGTATTGGGACATCCTTCCACTAAACAGGGCAGTTTCTCCCCATTCCAGCCATATGCTTTCATGTCTCCTTACTTATGTTTGCACTAGTGCTCATATGACCAGGCCATGTCAACAAAAACACCGGTCTCAGTGCAAGCAGAGAAGTAACAAGCAGCCCAGGCTAAGAAGATGGGTGATATACCAATACCATGTAAGTAAGGGGCAACCCACAATTATATTAGCATTATCTCAGCACAAAATTGGAGCTTTAGGATGCATTATGAAAGGGTCTTTCTTGAAAATAGATCTTTGGATTTCTAGCTTTCAAATCCTATAGGCATTTATACATTTTTGCTCACAATTCTTTATATTATCAAAAAAAAAAAGGGAGGGGGGGAATGGACATGGGACACGACACATTTCTGATTCTTTAGTACAAGCCCAAGTCAAAACTCATTGACATGTCTTTGATTTGAGGGATTTTGAATTTTCCAAATGATTCATACTTTTTAAATGATCACTGACAGAGATCCATGCCTGGAAACTTCCCTGAATATTAGACTGTTCATCTATGGCTCCAAATACAAGCCACTGTATTTTGAAATCTCATGCTCTTTACATAGCTTCCATTTCTGGGTTCTATTTTTTTTAATTTTGTTAAAAAACACTCTTTCCCAGTCAGCTTATCTGAAGGTAAATTGGCATAGAATTTGAAATATATATATGAGACTTGGCTTTCCATCAGAGAACACTGCGATTCAGAGAGAGAAAAAGAGAGACTTTAACAAGACCACAATGCAACAGGGCTACAAGCCCTAAATAGAACCAGGAATCTAGCAAGGGAAACGATTTTGCTAATCTGACTGGCCTAAAATTGCTGAAAATTCTGAAAAGAATGGGACAAGGTATAATAAACAGCATCATTTCTCTCCAGGTTTCTTCTCCTTTTGAAAGAACATGTTCTCTGAAGGCAGACTGGGCAAGTGGGCTGGAACACAAATCTCAAAGTCACTGCCAATTCTGAATAGTTAACAAGCATGCACACTCCTGATGCGGGTTCTGTGAAGACAAAGTCCTGCTCCTCTTAATGTATATTTCTGTTGAATTTTGCAGGTCAAGCTTCTTGCAAGAGAAAAGGATTCAAAGGAATTTAAAGGGCTGGTCTTCCCCTTTTTCCTTCTTCACAGAATAGCCAGTGTGAGCTGCTAGGCAAAACTCTTAGAATTATTACTAGAGACTGAGCTAGATTTGATTTACAATTTGAAGTCATAGATCCCCAACGTGATACTTGAGCAATATTATTTTAGAAGTAATACCAATCTTGGATGCAACACAATAAATAAATAAATAAATAAAATCACATGATCACCCAGGATTGTCTTATTGGGGACCATGGGAAGTTTGTTTCTTTAATGACACCTGCTGGAAAGTCTAAAGTGCATTCAGGAGCTGTGCTGCAGGACATAGTTGATGCTCACATAAACTTTACGTTCCCCATATTCTGAAGAATATGAGAGTCCTGTACATGGTATGACAGGTAAGTACAAATATAAATGCCAAGGTGAAGCAGTGAAAGTTACTAAGCAATATTAAACATAAGGAAGCTTCGACATCTGCCAAGATTTTTTTAGGGTGGACTGTGCACATGATGAAATTGTTACACAATTCCAATTTAGCTGCACTTGTCATTTTCTTTCATGTATTTCTAGAAAGAGTAGCTGAAGAAGGCTGAAGAGGACAGTTATGCAGCCTGAATTTTCATTAAGTGTCTCACAAACTTAGAATTAAGAACTGTTTTTCTTCCTCTGGCAATACTCTCAATAAGATAGCCATGAAAAATAGCATCACCAAAGTAATATATGTAGTGTAATTAAGTACATTTCTCCCTCCATTTTTACAGAAACCAAGATTTTTTTACTTTGTATTTAGCATTTGAAAGCTTAATACTCAGCAGAAAAATGTTAGAAATATTAAACACTAGTAAAATAATTTTTCTTATCTATTCTCAGATTTCATCCAAATAATTTGCAAATTCCTTGTTTAAAGGGATCTGGGGAAATTGTACTCTAAATTATTATGAATTTCCCACACAGAATCATAAGGCAATAAAAAATTGTGTTCAGCTTCATAACTTTTTTTTTTTTTCTGTAATCACACTGGCAAACAGACTTAAGATCTGCCCAGTAAAATGCAACAAATATGTTTTTGTTGTTTGTTATAGTTTATAGTCTTCCTGCCATGTAGATGGCAGCAGCACTCAAGACTTGAAACTCACACCAGCTTTTTCTGGAGCTTATTCCATAACTCCATGTTCAAGAATATTATTGCCATAAATGAACTAAAAACATGATTATTTTTAAGATGGATATGACATTAGTTGCACATATATTTAAAGAAGGCTGCAACATCATAATATCAGTTTTTAAAGGGGTGTTATATCTGCCTGTATGAATATAGATGTCACTATTTGTTCTTTGTACATTATGATTTATTTTCTTTCTCTAAATTAAATTGCTAGTATTTTTTCTACCTTTTTAGGCTTCAGGACACATATGCTGTTTCTGAAGGTCTGAAAATGTTAAGATTTACTTGAATAATCCCCATACATATTTCCCTGCAGAATGAGAAACAGCTAGTGGCTGCTTGGGCAGGAAAGCTGTTGACTGTGAGCACCCTTGTCGATGATACAAAGAGAAAGAGCAGAGAAAGGTAACGGAATGCGCGGTGTAGGATTTTGTGCTGTGGGCTCTGCTAATCATAGTATTTTATAAAAATATCATGATTTATCCTGAAAAGATACATTCTGAGGGTCCAGATTTCTTTAGTTGTATGAAATTGTCTGCACTCTAACATTTGCTTTGCCTAAGTAGAGCAAGGTTTTAGAAGAGAAGCAACAAAACTGAGAGCCAGAATCAAAGCTGTCTTAAAGCCTCAGTCTCTTTGCAGCATCAGTTGAAACCTCAGGGAAGCTTTGTGGGATCATCTTCAGGCCCCGGGAGATAAAAGCAGGTTTTAGACATGTGACTGGACGTATTCGTTGACAGGGCCATAGAGGAAAAACTACCACAAAAAACAACAATAACAAAAAAAATAAAATAAAAATTAAACAAACAAACAAACAAAAACCTATGATGTTATCTCCTTGAGCTAGGAAACACTTGTCAAATGCTGGAGGCAAAAGGTAGTGTTTCGGTAACCTGTAATATGCAGTAGTAGATAAGCACTAACTCCCAAAGTTTCCTAACCAGTAGCAGCTGCATTAGCAGGGAGACTAAGTACTCAGTGGGCAGCATTTCTCATTTCATAGGTTCTGGGCTACCAATGGCATAAGTGACAGTTAGTACAGGGAACAAAATTAGGCTATATGCTTTTCAGAGTAGGATACACTATTTTGTTCTGTACGTATGCTGTTCCTGACCCTTGCTGACACTACAAAAGAGAAGAAAAAATAACAAGAGTAGCACTAAAATGAAACCATCGCCTACTACGACCATTTTGGACAGCACAGTCCTCTTTTGAGTAGCTACCTCTGTTTTCTGCTACAGGTAATTTCAAATATTACCTCTAGCAGCCTGGTCTCCTTCTGGCAATTCAAATCAGGCCCTATCTGTTAAAATGGGGATGCATTTGGTGTATCTTAATCCATATTGAGCACAGAATCAGAGAATGTAAATGTGAAAGTGGGCAGATTGTGGTGCCTCACCCATGCAGAACTGTCACTGCTGCAGATTTTGACTGGTCTGTTCTAGCCTTGTGCAGAAGCTGGCAGGGAAACAGGAGGCCATATCCCTCCCTTGTTATACAGTGTGAAGCAGAAAACCTTGACCCAGTAGATCACCCAGCCATTTGTAGTCAGGCAGCTGTTCTCCAGAGGACAGAATTCCACACTGAAGAGTCTATTATAGCTTCAGGCTGCACTCGATGGATGATGTGTCCCCAAACAGGCTCCTAAAACATAATGGGACTACAACCAAAAAGCTATTTCAGATGTCATGATACATATCCTGGAATGATGGCATTCCTGCTGCTTACCTGGTGCTTCAGGTAAAGGACTAACAAGGGGAAAGTATGAATTTGTCGCTTTTAAAATTTGTGATGTCATTAGAAGAAGAATTAATTATAGCGAAGAAGGAGCAGCAATAGGACACCTGCACCATAGCTTTCCATGTCTCCTGCATGTCACTGAGTATGACGTTACATCTGCTGCGTGGGACAGGGCTAATGGGAAACCTCTCCCACTGTTAAAGCTCTTCCAGACAAATACGTGCCTAGAATGAACATGTTTTAAGTATGTAACAGGTATGTTATGGAGATTTAGGAGTTTTTACTCTCCACTGTGTATCACTCATGAAATGAATGTTACAGATTTTTTTCCTGTGAGCATACATATATATTTGCCAGAAAGCTGC